TTTAAAGAATATGTAATCGAAGAAGCGCCGCAGCGTCTATGATGGGAGACTCACGTAGGTCTGCAGGATGGGGCTGGCGAGGACGAAGGCCAGCAGCCAGATGCACGCGCAGATCTTCCTGGCCTGAGAGAGCGAGCACAGGTACTTGACTCGCATCGGGTGAATGATGGCGTAGTACCTGCGCAGGGAACATGGCACTCACTTAAGCTCTGAGCGGAGTCAAACGGGGCAGAGCGGAGCAGAGCCCCTGTGAATCGGGCGATAGACCACCCGTTCAACTCGCGCGTCCGCGCGCTGCCGGCTCGCAGGCGCCCAGCAGCCGGGGCGGGCGCGCGCGCCGTGCGCATCCCCCCGGGAGGAGGCCGTCCATTAGCGTTTGCAATCGGTCGGGCAAGCCCGGTGCGCTTGCCCGACGTCCGAGCGGGCGAGAGAGACGACACTAGCTGTCTCTCTCGCACGCACGGTGATCGCCACCTGAGTTCGGGTAGGGCAGAGCAGCCAGCGCGCGTCGGGTAAGCGCGCCGCGCCGAATGCAAACTCTACCGTCCATGCCGTGATTGTGCGTTTGACCCAGACGAAGCGGAGCTCGCATGCGAGTGAAACTCAAAGACAAGATTGCACGCTGTCGCGCGAACTACTTGAAAGGGGCAAAAGAACAGGGCGGGTGTGAGACGCGGGGGGGGGGGGGCATTCTCAGGAAGCTGCTAGCAAAGTTTGGTAGCTTCCATACGACAGTGGGGAAACGACCAGGCGCCGGGCCGAGGGCACGTAGACGAGACGGCACCGGACGAGGAGATGGTCTCTCCCCAGGCGACTTTAGCCCGCCCCGCACGAGAGTGAGTGGCGACCGACACACAACAGCGTCGTCGCACTACTTGTGCCGGACTTTACCACAAAGACAAGTGCATGTTCTCGTCTTTTCAATGTGTATTTATTTTCTTTGTTCCCAAAGATCTATGTCAAAGAAAATGGCGACAACGTGATTAAAATAAAAACTCGAGAGCCACTGCTTTTTTATGGGCGCAGGGGCCATTTCCACAAGATCCCTGGTCACGGAAATATTTCTCTCCTTTAAACTCTACGACGACGCGACGGCAACAGCTCGCCTCGCTCCGCACCCCCTGGCGAAAGCCTTTTTTGCTCCTTTCATTAAATTGGAGGCGACGCGGGGGCCGCTGGGACTTCCCACCGCACCCCAAAAGCCGCACTACAAGAGTAGTGGTGCTTGGCCGCGTCTCCCTTCTCCTCGGTGAGGAGTGCGGGTCTGGTCGCTTCGATTCCCATCGCGGGGGCGGGCGAGGAGTTTTTTTGTGGCCCACAGCACCTCCTGCCTTTTTCACGGTGGAGACCTGCCCCCCCCC